TGGCTTTGTAAATGCTCGTGGTGAGTCTGGCTTTGTAAATGCTCGTGGTGAGTCTGGCTTTGTAAATGCTCGTGGTGGGTCTGGCTTTGTAAATGCTCATGGTGAGTCTGGCTTTGTAAATGCTCGTGGTGAGTATGGCTTTGTAAATGCTCATGGTGAGTCTGGCTTTGTTTCAGTTTTTTTTCTTGACCACCTAGATGCACGTACACCCTACTTGTTATACATAAACTTTCGTGTGCTGAGTGTGAGTGTTTCCAAGGAATAGCCTGTCCATGAATGGAAAACAAAAGTGTATCTGTATAAAGAATTTCCCCTTTTACTGCAGGAGACACTTCAGCCAATGAATTGACTTGTGATTTTCCATTTGTATAATTCAAAGTTGTACTCGGCCAATTATGATTTAAAAAATCCCAGAATGACTCTGTAATCCCTTGATTGTATGTATAGCTCTTCACATACAGTACTCAGTGAATGATCCCTGTGCTTCTGCCATCTTTTTGAAACTGCAAATTACTCTGCAGCTCAATGCAGTACTTAAGACCATGCAACACCCACAACTAAGGAGCCACACTGGCCACAAACCTCCCTTAGTACCAAATGTTTCCATCTCCAGCGGACTCTTGGTCACAACTGGCAAACCGACAGATTAAAGTTGCTGTTTGAGCCATTCGGCAGACTGAGAGTGATCATTTTGAAGGAAACCCTGTTCCTCTCAGGCCCTACAAACAAAAAGTGCATTCCTGCTGGGTCTTGCATGCAAAATTTAAGAGCTCAAACTGGCTCCAACATTATTACAAAGTATTGCACTGCAAAATAAAAAAAACAATTTCAGGAAGGAGCAAATTACTGCAAAGCACACACTGCAAGAATCTGATGCATTTTTTTCCCACACCGATACACAAATCCATTATAGAAAAAAACAGGGATACCTGAATATAAATATGGCCTTATACTTTGTTTTTACACTTGTGTTTTTATAAAACCTAATTGTTACGTTTACTGAAACATTTCCCTTTGATAATTATAGAGTATTTCTGTGAATGCTCCAGTGAGGAATGTTTTCCTCACATCTAAAACATCAGTGTTTTCAGTGTAGCCAGATTGCTTTTTTTGGTTGGAAGAAAAAACACATAAGCAATAAGCTTGGAGGACACTGTTGTATTGTAACAAGTTCAATGAAGAGGAACATGAAAGATTGCAGGTCCAGAAGGGGTACCATACAAGGGCAAGTTATAGTCATTAAATCTCTCCTGCACAAACATGCCATCCATTATAAAGCTGAAAGGGTACACTTTTTATATGCCCGAGTTTGTTGTAATTCCAAAAATGAAGCCACTCTGGGGATTCAAACCAACAACATTTGGGTTTCACGTCTATGACCCTCTGCTACAGTACCTGTTGCTCTTCTGTGCTCATTCATCCTATTGTTTAAGCCTAGAAAGTTACAGGACACCTCATAAGTATGATTCAGATGTGATTCAGATGGTATGCTGAGTAGGATATCAGTTAAATGGCTATGGATCAAATCCAAAAAGAGGGTCTATTTCTATACTCATGAGAAGTATTTATTTGTGGTATTATGCTATTTATGTTGCTTTGCATATAGATGCTTACTAAACAACTAAAATAATTATATTAATAAAATAAATGAAAGGCCACCTGTTACGTGGATATCAGTGAACACATGGCTTTATTTGTTTTTCATTTTAAGTTCCAGTCTTCGGCACAGATTCCCTCCTTGTATGCCAGCCTTCTAGGCCAGTACTGAAACAAATCCTGTTCTGCAAAGCTTGGTCTCTCCCACATAAGATTACAAACTTCACAGTTGGTTCTCAGGGAGGAAATATTTTGGATATCTGTCAACAAAGTTTTGCGGGACGTGAGACTGATGAGAATTCACGATACCGCAGCAGCCGACGAGACCATGGGAAAAAGTCTTCTTTCAAGAGCATGAATAAATACATATGCAGCTTTTGTTTGGGCTTTGGGTCTGTTGTTTGCCTCAAAGTGGGATTCCGCCCTTTTGGCTCCTCGCTTCAAACCAGCAGTGAAGGCACCCAGGATGTCATATGCTGCAGATTGTTTTATTAGGATACAGGAAGCTCAGAGACAGTTAAAGTAGCATTATTGTAGCCTCAGCTGTCATGGAGCCCCCTGGAGGGCAACAGAACATTTAAAATAGGTCCCCTGGGACATTTGGTAAACCCCCCAAAATAGAAATATCCAGCATTCATTCTTATTTTGGAAGACAATGTGATATGACCAAAACCTATATGTAGGTCTGGTGTTGACAGAGTCCGCTGTTTTAAACAGCCCTCAATCAGTGGCTTCAGTAGAAAATTTTGATTGGGGTGACCATCAGGGACTAGATATATTGTCTCTCTCTAATACATTATGCTTAGAAAATAAAATAATGCATATTTCGTGCTTATTATTTTGATGTGAGGTGACCCCCATATGTACTGATGGTGCCCATGACCACCCCTTAGAGCCTTTAATTGATTAATTAACTTTATAGCTGAGCCAACTGGCCTTGCCTGACTGGGGTTACACAGCCTCCACTTCAGATTTAGGAGACACGTGATCAATCTCAGCAGAGGCAATCAATATTTAACAGGAGAGCGTTAAGAATTTCCAAACGCTGCGCAAAACTTGATATTTTCTGGATTCGTTTAGCTAGTACCCCGTGCAGAAGTGGTGCGGGGCAGGAGGTCAGAAGATCTCAGTAAACACCTCCAACAATTTGCTAGCTTTAGCGTCATCCATCCTTTATCTCGCAGCAGTCTTGCATCAGCTACGAAATCAAACTCTCTCCAGCGGTATGATCGATAGTATGAATTTATGTAAATGCGAGTGAGGCATCACAGGAATGCGTAAACATGAAGTAGCGAAGGCGCAATCCACAAGTGGCTTCACTCCCAACAACAAGCTTTTAGTCCGAGTTAAACATATAACATAATTTTAATCATCCTTCTTCCACTAAACACACACTTTAAAATCCCTTGCAATTGTAGGCTTTTTGAGACCCTTAGCAAAAAAAAACAAACAATGCCATGGAGTCGCTCACAGCAAAAGACAAAGCAGCCTCACATCACGATAACTAAACCACACTAATAACAATGAAAATGAGCGCAGCTCATCCATCTTCACTAGATCTCAGCACAGACTGCCTCATGTCTAATTAGCATGGTTATTTAAATGCGTACTCTAGCACCCTTGCACGCCATCTCTCTGTAGACGAACGGGTCCGCTTTACACTTAGCGCTGTTAATTATTACATTATTCTACAGTCGGATGAGAATGGGTAGCGGAATGTGAAATTAAAAGCAATAGATCTTATTTAGTGTTGATGAACGCAAAGTACACCTTGCCACTGGGAATAAGGGAAAAAAATAACGACTCAGGGTGTATTTATGAAACAGATAGAGCAAAGCCAGCCGTTAGACTGAGGCTCGGTAATGGGGCAGCATTAACACCCCCGTGACTAGCATTTGGGGCAACGCTCCAGTTTCCTGGTAAGATGATATCTGGGTTGCCAGCAAGCAAGAACACGACTCCCATTCCTCAATCAGTCGTTTTCATATCAAGGGAAAGGAATGTTTTGCCAGGAGCTGCATATAGGCTACAGTGTATGTGTCTTTGAAGAGAAGGCAGTATTGATAAAGACCGCCATGCAGTCGGTGCCTCCCATTCCATATGTCAAACCCCATTTTACTGTGCACTCAACATTAATATAATTAAGACAATAAATTGTTCATTTAAGGAACAACGCTGTATTCTTCAGCATAGGACATCCTGATTCGCTTATCTTATTCTATGAGACTCAAAGCAAGCTTATTTGATTCAGTGTTACAGTGATGGGTTGTAGGACATTAAGTATGGAAAATCAGGGTTACTATTATTTACTATTAACGTCCAGACTCATTTCTCTCAAAGCTTGAGGAGAAGCTGGGCAAAGGAGATACTTGGGGAGGGAACTCCCCAAGGGACCTCGGTGTCACCTGGAAATTGGGCGAAGGGACACGGTGGCCATGGGGGAGGGGAAGAATTACACCAAGACTGTCATGAGGAAAGAGCAACAGTATAACGCCGTCAATACAATTTATGAGGGTTGTGAGCAGACTTAAAATGAGCAGGCGATACGCGATGGAATCGGAGTGCAGCAGGTGAAGGTTATTCTTAATAACGTGGGCGCATGTTACGCTACTCGTTGACTAGTTATTTTTGCACAGGTTTGAGGTAAAGGTACCGACATCGTACAGTATATAACGACCAGTGTAACCAATTACCCAAGGAATCGCTGTAATCTCGCACTTAAAGCCGGTGAAGATACTCTTACACGTGCACATTTCATGGTATTTAAACTAGACTCACAAGAGGCAAGGGATGTTGAAATTTAAGTAAGAAACATTTTCACACATATCAGGGCATTAAAAGTGTTCATACGTTCAAGAGTTCAAACGTAATTACACATTATTACATACTGGAAGTGTGTTCTCTTGTACAAGTAAGATTTATATGTTATCTTTGATTTGGGACTTAGTGGAGTGCAGCCTAATTCCGTATAGCAACACATCTCTTATCGATGCGTTATTCATTTTGGCGTGTAACATTTTTATCTCAGATTCACAATTGTTTGCTTTAAATTAAGAAGTAGGCAGCACTGTTATTTCAGGGAAACACGGCGCTGAGATTTGTCCCAGAGGAGGAAAGTTTAGTGTTCCCTGCTTTGTAATCAAGATGAACATGGATGATAACCCAGAAATACCAATACTTTCTCCTTATTTGTAAATCGCGTGCAACATTAAGTGTCAAGATAAAAACTAGCTCCAGGATAAGAGCATCATTTAGGAAATTAAAGAACTCCTACAGTACATTTTTGTGGCACAATAAACAAAGGTTGCAGAATGGCAACAATGGTTTATCATGATTTGATGTGACTTTATATAAATGTTGAAAGAGACCGCGCAATTCGTTGCCCTTAGATGAAGATAACTCACCTAATCCAGGTACGAATGTATTGAGGAAGAGGCAAATGACCGCTACAGGAAAAGGCATGCACGGTATCGCCGCGCGCAGAAGTCCTTTCTTCTCCCGTACTTGGACCACAACTCCACTCGTGGAAGAAGACACTCCTTTCTCGTTCATCTCCGTGTCTTTGTGGTCCATCTCAGGAAACTGCTCCTTGTCCTCCGGTCGGTCTTGCTGGTATGACCCCGCAGAAGTAAAAGCGACGGTACTCCAGTAGAGATGTCCAACTGTGCAGGGCGGACTGGGAGTAAGCACTGTCACTCCCACCGCCTCCTCCTTCGCGCGGACTTGAGATCAGCCGGCGGACCAGATTTAATTTCACTTGACACATTTAAAGTGACAGGATCCTGCTGTCATCTACACGAACGCTGAGCTTTCCCACGGGGACTATTAGGCTGTTCAAGTATGATTGTTAAATTCTCCTGATTTCATTCCAAAAACAACTTGTTGTGAGCCAGGGAAAAAATGGAGAGGGCAATATTATTATTATTATTATTATTATTATTATTATTGCTGTTGTTGTTGTTGTAAGATTGCCAGCTTCTTTTGATTCTGAAAACATGGCTTGACATTAGCTTTCTAATGGACCTATGAAATTTATGGTGTAGGGTAAAAGGTTTCAGGCTTTTTGTGAAAATGTAGAAAGCAAAACATTGATCTTGTATGATAATGGAATTATTTTGACATGGATATACCATAGATTAATCAGAAAGCACGTGGTTCTCCAAAACCTGTAGGCTCCTAGATAAGCGTGTGGAAGATGGTTGGATGGAATTCTATAATGTTTAAGGCAGTTAAAGGAAAGAATGTGCATATAAGTGTTTTTCAAATGAATGGACATTGACGCTTGTTGCGTGACCGTCATAATCAGCACTGACCCTATAGTCATTCCTGCTGCACTTACATGAGTGGGAAAGCAGATGGCGCTGTCTGCGACTTCACAACAAACCGCTCCTCTTTGTGTCCACGGCAGGTCTTGTATCAGGACACAGGGGGCCATACACAAGGTACATATATTATTGTCTTGCGCAATAAATAACATTGCACTATATTAATAGTAATTGCATATATGTATCTACTTTAAACTGTTAATAGTCTTTTTTTCAGTACGAATGTATATTAGGCCTTACATACATTTCATATACCACTTTCCTTACTGCAACTGTTTTCATCCTATTTATATCTGTATACCTGCTGCTGGACCCAAAGAATTTCCTCCTCATTGGGATCAGTAACATCGTCTAAGTCTAACCTAGAGAGATCACAGAGGAGTTAATCGTGGGCGTTTCTTATAGACAATTAATCTTGCATGGAGGTCAATAAAAATCGTAACGTTCAGCAATAAACACTGCTAACCTAAAGCTATGATGTTTTTTTTTTAATTAACAAGAGTGCTGTGCTTGTTAAGCAATGGCGGAACGCGCCTTCTCTTGTGCTCAACAGTACAAAATCACCTCGGCCAAAGCTCCACCCTAGTTTGGTCACTGAAAGCAATGCTGGTTAATTCATGAACATGTAGTTACGGCAGTTAAAAGCGACGTGGTTCTAGAATGGTACAAAACAAATGCACCGAATATATAATCAGATCATACATCATGCTAAATAGTTATGTTTATTTTAAATACTCCTTTTGAAATAGCCTATACTACTGTGGTACAAATTAATTCCCTTCCTCCCCCCTTTGCTAATAAAAGCTCTTAACAATAACTGTGACATTAGCAATTTGCCATTTGGAATTATATGTCTCAGGAGACGTCCCTTGACATGACGTGATTCCCATGATGAATAACAGGGAAGACTCAATTACTGGTGCAGGAAAAATATTCATAAATCAACCCCCCCCCCCTCCAACACAAAAAAGATTAAGTCACTCTTTATCGCTACCAGGTCGCTTAGCAACGATGAGTAGGACTTGACAGAAGTGGTTAACATGCGGTAGTTTGTTTTTTTTTTTTGATTTTGCTCCGTATCTGATCCAAAAAGACAAGACAGAAAAAACCGTAATATATTCCACTGAGAGTTTCTGAAGTTTGGATGAGCTGCATGTTCATTTGTGGCACGCGGCTAATTACTGGAAACAAATGCTAATGAGCTATAGCCTTTCTGTTATAACATAAACTTTATTTTAAAAACTATTTTATACTTTAGGGACTAGAGGCCAGTATTTTTTCTTTACGATTAGGACGTCGATCCTGGTGTGCCTTGATATTTAAACAAAAATGCATGAGTGAAAAATCATCTTATATAATATATAATTGAAGGTCATTCTGTAAAATTATGAGCTACAATGCATCTTTGCCTAAGTAACAAAATCATGAATAACAAATACCCACATATACACACAGCATGACATTGTATGATATTAGAGTAGCATGTTCCCTTGGCAACTGTTCGACTTCTGTCCCTTTACGGTGGCTTATTGTGTGAGTGTGACATAAACTATTAAACTGCAACCGCACCCCCTGCATCGCATGGAACAATGGATAAGAACAGAACCTTCCGGGCTGCTCCAGCACAAGGCACCTGCCTGAGCCTCTTATCCCTGTCGCCTGTGGAGGCCCCGAGGTGGGAAGATGTGGGAAGATGTTTTATAAAGCAGAAAGACGGACGGACGGATGGACAGAGAGATAGATAGATAGATAGATCGATAGATAGATCGATGGGTGGATTGGGAGGATGATGATGAATGGATGGATGGATGAATGGAGGATGATGGATGGTTGGGTGGACGCATGGATGGATGGATGATGGATGATAAAAATTGATTCACTAGAACATTCATAAGACTTTCACAAGGCTCACATTAGACGTTGTAGGGGCTGACAGTTGCCTGACCTGGTCAGCTGTTTCAGACGGGGAGATTATCACTAGGAAACCCGACAGGGAACCAGCAGACTATTCTCGCTACTGCTGGGCTGAAAGCACAGGAAGGTTTACTGAGCTTGTACAGGTTAAGCCTGACAATGGCCGTGATGTACAGTAGCTTAGCTCATGCTCTGATTGTGCAATAAAGAAGGAAGGTAAGTTTTTCTGCCGGAACACAAACTGAAGCTGTTGCATACGACTGAATCATCTGGAGAGCTGAAATGCTAGACTCCACCGCCAAAGGCTCGCTCACACTCACCACCATCTGGTGCCTTGAAAAGCGGAAGCTGCTGCATTGATTTCAGATACCTCTTCCCTTGGCAGCAGACATAGGCGTGGGCTTTCCTCAAAGCACGGGCAGGGGCAGCTGAAGAAGCCCCAGATCCATCTGATCATGTTCAATAACTTCTTATTAACTTCTTATTTGAAGCCTAACCCAAAATGGCAGCTCAAACCCCAAAATCACTGTATGTATATCTAAATAAGTTTTGTCCTTCTTCACAAGCATTACAACTATCTTTACAAATACAAAATAGCATCCTTGCCTTTTGGGTAAAGGGATGACTTTGATCTAAATGAATATTGTGCCCTTGGTGATAATCGGGTTTACAGGGCAAAGATGAAGGTAATTGATGGTTGAAAATAAGATTGAATTAACAAATATATAATGCCAGACTGATGCTGATGTGTTTCATAATTTATATATTTTCGGCATTGTCAGTCAATCAGTTCTTTCTCTCAAATGACATACGAGGCTTGTTGTTTCAGAGGCAGTTTTCATTTGAATGGGAACTGCAGCCTTTCAACCAGATGACTGTAGCCATTGGCTTAAAATAATTAGATAGTTCTAACCCTTTCAGGCATGAGTGCTAATCAGCTTCTCAGCGTGATAAGGGGATTGTCTAACGCAGACGAGAGCTGTTGCACCCATGCCGTATTCATAATGAAATAACTGTTCAATCTCTGAATTATTATTTTTTTTCTGAAGATGTGTCAGAAGCTGAAGATGGAGTCTTCAGGATTTCGGGGACGTAGCACTCTGCTGGGGGAGGACGACTCCAGGGGATATTTTGATCTTGGATGCCTGTCGAGGTGTGTGGGGGGGGGGGCGGCAGGGACTTTGATGAACTTGCGTATTGAACCGGCTGCCGTGAATAATGGATCTTCGGGGGACCGGAGGTGGGGGTTGGGTATTGCTTGAAAGAGATGACTGCAAAAAAACAGAACAAGCCGGGAATTGGCATCAAATCCACCATTTCTGCATCTCTGCCCCTCTGTGGAGGCTAATCGGACTCCTTACCAGTTTGGAGATATAAGCCATCCATCCATCCATCCTTTTTCTGTAACTTCTCTTATTCAGGGTGGTGGTGGGTTTGGAGTCCATCCCAGAGGCTACTGGCGCAAAGCAGGGAACAGCCCAGGATGGGGCACCAACCCATCACAGGGCACACATACAGTATACTATAATGAACACTGTAAATAATACAGATTATTTGAGTTAAAACAAAAGATACTCATGAGAAAACCATATAAGCTACAGTACTATATGTAACAATGTAGCTTGCGATAGGATGTATGATTTATGCTGGCTAACTGCAGATTGCTCTGCACCAGGAGTTTGTGATATGGTTTTTATATAAATAAAATTATTTTAGTATTCTTTAAATTTTATTTAATTAGATTATTAGAAAACTAGCCAATGATTGAAGGGTGGGTGGTGCAGTGGTTAACCTGGCAGCCTCACGCCTTGGGGACCAGGGTTCGAGTCTCTGCCAGAGTTCCATGTGTGTGGGGTTTGCATGCTCTTCCCCTGTCATTATGGGGTTTCCTCTGGGTACCCTGGTTTCCCCCCCCACAGTCTCAAAACATTCTGAAGCTGACTGGAGCTAACACATTACCTATAGGTGTGAATGGTGTGTATGTGCCCTGTGATGGGTTCATGCCCCATCCTGAGTTGTTCCCCACCTTGCGCCCTGTGATGGGTTCATGCCCCATCCTGAGTTGTTCCCCGCCTTGCGCCCTGTGATGGGTTCATGCCCCATCCTGAGTTGTTCCCCGCCTTGCGCCCTGTGATGGGTTCATGCCCCATCCTGACTTGTTCCCCGCCTTGCGCCCTGTGACGGGTTCATACNCCCCATCCTGAGTTGTTCCCCGCCTTGCGCCCTGTGATGGGTTCATGCCCCATCCTGACTTGTTCCCCGCCTTGCGCCCTGTGACGGGTTCATACCCCATCCTGAGTTGTTCCCCGCCTTGCGCCCTGTGATGGGTTCATGCCCCATCCTGAGTTGTTCCCCGCGTTGCACCCTGTGATGGGTTCGTGCCCCATCCTGAGTTGTTCCCCGCATTGCGCCCTGTGATGGGTTCGTGCCCCATCCTGAGTTGTTCCCTGTCTTGCACCAATAGCCTCCAGGATCAACTCTGGACCCCCCCCCCACACAACCCTGAATCGGGCAAGTGGTTTCAGAAAATGGATGGAGGGATAGTAAATGATTGTCACTTGCTTGTCACAGCTGACAAGCAGCGTTTGAGTTCGTCTGCCTTGTGCCATATGCTGTCTGGGACAGGCTCCAGACACAGTGCAGGTCTGTGCCAGATGAGCTGTTATGTAAGATGGACGGATGAAGCAAGGAAGCATGTACTGGGTGTCAGATGTATTTGAGGGTCTTTCTGGACCCAGGTTTTTTGGGATCAAAAAAATCTTGCACATGGTCTTTCAGCATTGGTACATTCTGGGTCCTTCACTTCATTTACATTCAGGGAGTTAATTACATTACTTTACTCCTGCTAATTAGCCAACATGCCAGGACTCTTTTTTGCTCTCTCTCTCTCTTGAAATCTTCTTCCATTAACAGAGACGCTAAAGGCTCATCTAGCCAAGTCCAGACTAAATATCACATGGCTTAGTGGATAATTGTTTATAAACACCATACTTTCTCCTTTGTTCACTATTTTAAAAACATCCCAGGAGAACTACATTATCAAAGTGGCATGCATTCCCACGTCTTATTTGTAACAACATTTAATATGTTCATTTGAATTTAAAGTCATAGATAATGCCCTACCTTTTTTTTGACTCTGTTATCTCTAGGGGTGCTAGGCAATAAACATAAAAACACCACTGACCTTCTCTTAAGGTTTCTTCAAAGGCCATTAGCTTGTAAGATGTGACATGTTTGTCCAACGAAGACTGATGACCTGGGGTCATAACATAAACAGTTAGCCAGTAGCTCAGTATCTCCACTTTACAGTTATAATTCCTTAGCAGTACTGACCTCAGTATCTCCACTTAACAGTTATAATTCCTTAGTAGTACTGACCTCAGTATCTCCACTTAACAGTTATAGTTCCTTAGCAGTACTGACCTCAGTATCTCCACTTTACAGTTATAAATCCTTAGTAGTACTGACCTCAGTATCTCCACTTAACAGTTATAGTTCCCTAGCACATTTTTTTCCAACATCGATTGCCCCCTCTAGGCATCTGTGGGTTTATTAAATGACAAATAACACATGTTTTAATTACCAAAACTGTCATTCTAGTATACTTATGTTAGTTAATACTTTTGACACATTTCAGTTTCACACCATTTGTTTGGAACTTGGATGCACATAAAGGACAATTGTACTGAAAGTCATGTATCGTCCTACAAGACTAATTGTCGTTCAATCTGAAATGCACTGATTCAGTCTGAAACGCTGTGGTTCAATCTCAAATGCTCAGGTTCAATCTGAATTGTTGTGAAGGCGACTGACTCCTTATCTTTACAATGTTAATTCACTTGCTGGTATTTTAGAAGACTTTGGACCAAATCTAATTACGTTTTAAAAGCCACAGTATTTGCTCCGGTTCCAGCCCTCTCCATCTCATAACAATTTCAGGAGTGTGCTAAGGCGGACTAAGCATTCAGGGCACTATGATCTGAAATGTCCCGGAATAATGAACATTCCCAGCTTCCTTTAAAAGTTCCAAGAATAGCCCATATAATCGGAAAGACTCCCTAAGAAACACTTGCGCATTGGTAGACACAGTCTGCGAGCCAGACAAGAAGCCAACATGTTCTCCTGGGAGCAGACAAACGCTGCTGCTGCTGGCTTACTGGGTTTGGCCCCAGTGTTTCTCATTAGATAATCACTCATAGAAACCTCTTGACATGTCTTCATGTGGACAGCTTCTCAACTCATCATCTCAACTGATCTGACCTGGAACCAATTCACTGGGGCTAATTTTTATACAGTATGTGGATCCATGTATTCCAATGTCTGACGCCGAACTCACATTTAGCGCAACTAGTAAGAATCACAGATATTTTCAGTTCATGGGAAGAGGTGACAAGATGTAGTATTTGAAATGGCAAATTAAATTCTTTAAGGCAAACACATAGCTGTTGGCTTACACAAATAAACATAGTCCCAGCAGAGTACAATAAATAAAATAAATAAAATGCTACTAATAATAATTAAAATACATTCCAGTTCACATTTTTAGATTCATTATTTTTCACATGAAGGCGTGGGTTGATGTATGAATTGTAGGGATGCATGGTTGTTTTGCTAGTTTATCTGCAGTTTCCTGCTTAACAATGCATGTTGCCTTTTCCTGATTTTTTCCATAATGTAACGTACACCACCTCCTGTTTTTGTAAATATGCACTTTTTCTGGTCAGGTTTCGATAAATCTGGCATTTCGCATGAAAAGTGCCTTTTTCTACATACGCATCTTTGTTAAATGAGGTTCCCTGGTGTTTTTAGCTTTTATTTTTGATCACCACCCACAGCATTAAAACTCAAAATGTATTAAAAAAAACACTGGAACAAGATGTAATGATATTTTCAAATCTTGGCCTGACATTTTTCTGCTGTAACTTTTAATTGCCAGTCCATCACATCCACACACAGCTTAGAGTCACAATTGTATCTAGCCTCAAGATCTGGAGCTGTGAAAGGGAACCTACACAATATAGAGAGAATGTCCCAACTGCACGGGCAGGATTCAGACCCCCAACTATGGCGGTACGCGATGACAACAAAGTGACTGAGCCATTACATTCAAGCAGAGCCGTGTTTATACAGAGACGATTTACTGGAGAGCTGAGCTCACATACCATGCCACAATGTTTAGTTTAAGAGATAAACATTAGTGCTGCTGAATGTAACATATTATCATCACTGTATTGTCATCACAAGAAACAGGCTAATTCAATGGAAGAATATGAGTATCATGTAAAACTCCGGATCATTAAGCAAATAATTTTCATATATTCCACAAATCACAATAGACTTAAATCATCAATGCCACTTAATAAAGCAAGTTTCTGGTCTTTTCAAAGTTAATGAGTTTCACATACAGGCATTGAGGCCCACATCAAAACTCTCAGGTAATGCTTGCGTGGAAATATGGCCACTAAATCTAAAATCTAGAAAGTTCACACCTACAGGTCTGTGTCTGTCTGGTTTGCATATTCTCACCGGCACAAGACTTCCTGTAAAATCTCTTCGTCCGGGTGAGCACTGCAGACTTAAATCGCTCTCTCTTAAGGAATCGAAGAGATCAAAGTAAAAGGCAAACTTTCATTTACTATACATGTAATACTTTCAAGAGTTGAACAACAAAATTATATAGGCCAAAATGAAATCCAAATGACACGCAAGCACTCCAAACCAAAAAGTGCATGCGCTCTCTACTAATTATATAATTAATTAGTAAGCAAGTGAATTGGAGCGAGAATATCAGAGGTTGCTCTCTGGCTCCCTCTGGTGGTCAGGTTGGGACATGACACTCATTGTGTTTTCTTGGGTTTCCTCCATGCACTCCAGTTTCCTCACATAGACGTTAATAAAAATCCAACGTAATTGGTAGATATTCAGTAACTTTTGATATGCTTTCTGGGTTTATGCACAAATCATTTTAGAGCTAAGATATAGTGATGTCAGCTTGTGAAAAAGAAGTTAGCGAGCTATGCACTACTTTTCTTCTGAAACTAAAATGTTACATTAACTGGGTTGGTATTGTTGATTAAATCAAGTTCAATTCTACTGCTTTATTCTAATTGGCTACATAAATGTTACTGCCATACAGTTTTTGTGCAGAAATGTTGCTATGAAGGCAGTTCTTTTCTAGCATTCTGAGTCGCAAATCGATCCTGGCTGAGCAGCCAGACAAAGTGCAATGCAGAAGACTGCCATGATGAAAAAGAACAAGGATCATGTGACCTCGCCCAGAATAGGAAAACCGGGGCCCTGCTCTGGAGCCAGGCCTGGGGGGGACTCGTTGGCAAATGCCTGGTGGTCGGGCATCTATGCATTGAGGCCCAGGTGGACAAAGCCAAAGAACCTATATGGGACCACCCGCTTGTCAGTCCACCAGGGGGGGCCATGGGAGTCTGGTGCATTCTGGGTAGAGTGGCAGTCGAAGGCAGGAGCCTTGGTGGATCTATTCTCAGTTACCAAAGCTACTTCCATGTCTGGCAAACCCCAAAAAGTTGACAATGACATTAAATTGCTGGACTTATTAAACACATTGTGTAACTTTTGTTCACCCTTTGGTCGGAGATCCTTATGGTTTTTCTGTAACCTGGTATACAGGAGTACGCTTCAGTGCATACTCCTGTGAGCATCCAGGGCCCGGACATTGAGATTGTGGACACTTTTAAATACCTGGGTGTTCACCTGAACAAGAAATTGGACTGGTCAACAAACACAGTTGCCCTGTATAGAAAAGGCCAAAGTTGCCTCCACCTGTTGAGGAGACTGAGGTCCTTCGGGGTGTGCAGAGAACTCCTACGGACTTTTTACAACACAGTAGTGGCCTCAGTAGTTCTCTACGCTGTTGTGTGCTGGCCAGGGAGCAGCTCGGACAGAGATAGAAAAAGACTTAACAAGCTTGTTAAGAAAGCTGGCTCTGTCCTGGGCTGCACACTGGACACCATCGAGGAGGTGGCGGACAGAAGGATGCTATTAAAACTGTCATCCATTATGGATAATCCCTCCCACCCCCTGCACCACCCTGTGGAGGCTCTGAGCAGCTCCTTCAGCACAAGACTGTTACACCCTCAGTGCAAGAAGGAGCGCTTCCGTCGATCATTCCTCCCCACAGCTATTAGACTTTACAACACATCACTGCAGTGACCATATAATCGGTATATATAATCCCTGTATATGTATTAATAAAGTCAATCTAATCTAATCTAATCAAATCTATACTGTAGAATTTGGCAAAGGCACTGTGTTCCCACTGATTAACACAAGAGGGCACCAATTCACAACTGAAATATAATGTCAGCCCCCCCTGAATAAGACATGCCAGACCCGATGTCCTATGCTGACAATCCCTGTCATGGTTACAAATCAATCAATTAATAACGCTGTTTCGCTGCATTCTGTTCCCATTCATTACCATCTACATACTCCTTCCTCTCCTACTGTCATGAGCTTTACATAAACATACTACATCCCTTCCTTCATTAGAAAAGAAGCTGTGGACAACTCGCATCACATGCAGTGTATCATAAAATTTCAACATGTCACGTACCATTTGAAGGATACTTCTTCTTACATTCTTCGACATAAATTCCTCTTTTTTTTCATTTTAATTTATGTATCTTTAAATCTTTCTCAGTGACCTGATCACTTACAGAGGTCAACTTTCTCACTGCAGCCTCTGTAGCTGTCTGCAGCAATGCTGGTAACTCAGGGTTTGACAGGTTCTGCTTCATCGGATTGTGCTGATGTTTGTGAGCATGTTGCTGTTGTTGGAACGGTACGCAAAGTCGAATGACAAAGCAGCCTGTCTCACATTCTTAACATATCTCGTTATTATTTACGCCCCAATCTCAGCGTTCGCCAGTTCAAATAGTAAAATCTGCTGAGCAGGAGATACTTTGTGTGTTTGCATCCAGAATCCAGCGTTTCTACACATCACACACATCACCCCCTTCTAATGAATGTGCTTTTGTTCTGGTTGTTTTCTCTATATTCTTTAATTTATATATATATATATATATATACTTTGATTTGATTTTTATATATAAACTTTGATAAATATACTTTGATGGTGTTCTTTAAACTCATGGGCCTCCTTCTTCTGTGTTACCTCGATATTTGGAGACTTCTGCCTGGAAAACAGAAGGAATGCCAGCGGTTTCCCGGAAGCACAATGAGGAGTCGAGCACAAAGCCATCAAAATCTTTGGAACCTTGTCGTTCCACATTTGTTCTTCACGTATTCATGTTATGAAAGTGTTCTTCAGATATCTGTGAAATCACTCAAATTTTATACTACTCTTTGGATAGCATAGCAAACCAGCTGCCTGTAAATGTCTGAAATGACAGCAAAGATCATAAATGCTTACGATACGTAAGTATAATTATCAACCGCAGTGAGTATGTGTTCATCTAGGATCGGTCCTATCAAATTAGTTCTTAGTTTTGTCCAGTGGTGCATCTGGACCAAAACACAAAGGAATCCAGACCATGTGATCAAACTCCACAACCCCCCCCCTCTTCCGGTCTGAGAAACTGACAAAGAAACCAAGAAAAACTGCTGGATGTCAAACACTCTACTATTAAAAGCAAACTGTTGCCTTATGTAAAATGCTTTTCTCACATAAATGACTCCAGGAATCAGTGTCCTTCCATGGTTTAGTCTTTAAGTTACACACCAAAGTGGAACCTCGTAGACATTAGCATAGAGGTTTGGTGTGTAAACATTCTCATCCTCACTGATGATGATCAGTGTCAGTAATCATTTTCTCCATGTCCGTTCACAGTTTGCATATCTTTCTGATCAATGGACTAAACCAGTGGTGGAAATTTCAGGTCCAGAAAGTAAAAATCCAGTCCAAGATTTTTGTTCCCGCCTCTGCAGTAAACAAACTCATCTGAATCATCCAAACTTTAATATCTAACACCTCTTATTGGTCTCACGTCAGTTCTGCTTGACTTTTAACCCCTCATCTAATTCTATATTTTCTTTCCAATACAATAAATCCAAATTCTGCCTTGTTTGGATCAACCAGAGCTCAAAAGCTTGCTGCCGAAAAGTTGCAGTGTGGAATATTGACTTAAATGACTCACAAGTACTAAAGTACTTCATGGAAGCCACGTTCCTATATGTTAGTCTGTGTTGTAAAGCAAGGTTTCTCAACCCAGTCCTCGGGGACCACCAGCCGGTCCACGTTTTTGCTCTCTCCCAATTGGCAGGGAATTGGGAGAGAGCAAAAACATGGACCGTCTGGTGGTCCCCGAGGACCGGGTTGAGAAACCCTGTTGTAAAGTACTGTGTTACTGGCCCTGGGTTGTACTGCCCCCTACACTTGATGCAGCATAACATCAACATCAGTTTACAGTGACAGCACACAAATCTTGCATCTTCCTCCAGAGTTGTCTAAAGGGAAACAGTGACACCTATAGGTATTTGAAACGTCACATACCCAGAGATGATCAATCGGCATGTGGAATGTCAAAGCGAAAAGCTTATGCACTGTATCATTTTTACATCAGGTGGTTTGATGAAGGGAGTATACAATTCAAGATCAGCTTCTTCCTGCTGCTTCATATCTTTAGGGAAGTTTCCAGTGATGTAATATTCACAGATTTGTATGCAGAAATACACCCCAAATAATAAGTCCTGTATATGAGGTGTAGGTATCTGATTCATAACCATTAATGTCCACTTTAACAGAAACAAATATAAAATAACTTTACCTGAATATTTTTTTTTATCCCATAATATTTCTTATCTATTTATCTATTTTGCATCACTAGAAACTGACAAATGGAAGCATATACTGTAGAACCATTTACATCACTGTACATGTGTGTGTTTCATTTAAGCATCCTTCTTATCATCCAGTGATAAACATTTCTTCATTATTTCTGCTCGTGTCTCTGGGTTAATGCAGACCCTGTGTCCATTTCTTGTGGTTATGCTGGAATGAAATCAGGTGAAAGACATAGACATGAATTTAGTGATAATCCACAGCAGAAAGAGCAGGATTATGTTCTGTGAGTAATACAGTACATGTTTACATCAATTTCCTCCAGCCGCATGGAGCATTTCTGACTTGCACAGCCAATTCCCAGCATGAGTTTTATGATATTGTGAAATCCTGACCTTCTCATGGTATCAGTGACACATGGTACAGTGAGAAGCAGTTTAAATGACAATCAGAATTCTGAGAGATGCTCTTTAAATGTTGACATTATGATGTCAGAATAAAGTTACAGAAAATCAAGCCACTGCTTTAGCTGATGACGACCAGGAATATAACTGGCTGATATTTGTAAATTATTACTTCTGGGGTGATTTGTAGTTCAAATGGAAATTTCTTAAGATGCATGTGAAATATATTTCTTGATTGTAACACTACCAGTTAAGAAGTAATTGTGAAGTAAAACTTGTAACCATAGTAAGCATTATGTTATTACTAAGCCAATAAATGTTACTGTAACTGAGAAATAACCACTTACAGTACAGCATCCAAGCCGCATCTGTTATCTGTTTCTTCACAGGATGTCACTGCTGCTGCTGGAACTCGCCCTTCGAAGTATTTTTGGCAGCATTTACTTGGTAGATTGTTGTCACCGTCTGTAAATCAAAACATGTACATTTCTTTAGCGCTTTTATCCAAAGCAGCATATAACTGAGAAAGCAGGTCAGCCAGTCCCTGGGCAGTTGGGGGTTAAGGGTCT